GGAGATTCACAAAGGGTTGTGTGGTCATCCTAAAGTAGCACAGATCCCCCTGAAGCTTGTTCTGTCCACTTGATCTTTGCTACAATTATTGTCACTGGCCGTGAGTGAATCCTTGGCTGTCCTCCCTGCTCTTTACATTAGGAGCTGCAGATTCAGAGTCTGAAGGCAACTAGGAGGCATGCCTGGGCTCTAACTGTATGGGAGGTTACAGAAACACCTGGCATTTTCCACCTTGGTCATGGAAGATGTACTCTTCCTCCCACTTGCAATGCAAAAGACTAGAATTTCCAAAGCACTGGAAGGCGATTTAGATGCTAAAAGGCCAAAAGAGAATAACCAATGTCTATTAAATATGGCTATGAACCCTTTCTGAGTGTATCTTTGGCCTCAGCCAATAAGTTTTGATTTCTATTTCTGTCATTGATGATAATTTCAAAATACTTTATTGAAATCTCATTTTCCTTTTGACCGAAGAATAAATTAGAAGAAACTTATTTCAATTTCCAAGTAGCTATGTTGTTTTTCACTAAGATTTTATTAATAAATCTAGCTTTATAGAATTCTGATCAGAGAATGTGGCATGTGCCAAACTTCTACTTCTTGGAATTAATTAAACCTGCTATATGGCTACAATGTTACCAATTTTTAGAAAAACACTTAAAAAGGAGTATTATCACTTTGAATGGCAGATATTTTTAGCAAAGTATTAAAAGAATAAATACTAAATTAGTCAAAGTTACTTATGTTTTACTTGACTTTGGCTTTTTGTGAGTCAAATATTGAGAAAGTTATATTAAAATCTCCCACCATTATTCGGGTATCTTTCTCATTTTTGATATTTTGCTTTATATACTTTGGTTCTGTGTATTTTGGCCCACAGGTATTCATGCTATTGCCTTGATAATTGTTGAAGCTGGGTGCTGGGTACATAGCAGTACTTTACCACATTCTGTCTCCTTTCGGATCTGTGTCAACTTTTCTATAATAAAAATAAAACAATACTAATGGCTTTTACATCTTCACTCAATTTTGTTTCATTAGTCTGCCTATAGTAAAGGTTGGGTTCCCTCAGAAGCAGACCCTAAGATAAGGATAAGTGCACATTGTTTATTTGGGAAATGCAGAGAAAACATGTATGTATTCATTTATGAGCGGGGGATAAATCTACGTTAGTATGTGTTTTGAATATTTGAGAATTAAAGACGTGTGCTTTCTGGTATGCTTTCCATTTTCTTATCACAAAATTCGGTATTTATATTATTGCATCTTCAGTAATTAGTCTTACTGGCCAATGCAACCAGAAAATAGGACATATCCATCCGCTTCTCTTTCTGCAGCGCTGCGCTGTGAGTTATGCTGAATACCGTTCTCCAGTCCTGACTTCACTTAAAAATCCCTGAACACAAGCGAGCAAAAAGTGGGGCGACTAGTGCCATAATAATGATGGCAACCACCATGCATATGAAGTACTCCAGACAGACACAGACAGGAATGACAGCAGTGTTTAGTATAGCTGATACACACCGTTACGTTAGTTTCAGGTGTACAACAGAGTGATTCAACTTCTCTATACGTTATGCTGTGCTCACCACAAGGATAGCTACCGTCTGTCACCATAGAGCGCTATTACAGCCTCATGGACTATATTCCTTATGCTGTGCCTTTTATTCCTGTGACTTACTCATCCCATAACTGGAAGCCTTCCCCTTCACCTGTTTTGCCCATTCCCCACACCCCTCCCCTCTGGAAAGTAACAGCTTGTTCTCTGTATTTTTTTTTTTTTTAAGATTTTATTTATTTATTTGAGACAGAGAATGAGAGAGACAGAGAGCACATGAGAGGGGGAGGGTCAGAGGGAGAAGCAGGCTCCCCGCCGAGCAGGGAGCCCGATGCGGGACTCGATCCAGGGACTCCAGGATCATGACCTGAGCTGAAGGCAGTCGCTTAACCAACTGAGCCACCCAGGCGCCCCTTGTTCTCTGTATTTATAGGTCTGATCCTGCTTTTTGTTTATTCATGTCATGTTTTAGATTCCACATATTCATGAAATCCTATGGTATTTGTCTTCCTCAGTCTGCCTTATTTCACTTAGCATAATAACCTCTAGGTCCATCCATGTTGTCTCAAATGGCACAATCTCATCCTTTTATGGCACGGTGTTCTACTGTGTGTGTGTGTATCCACATCTTCCCAATCCATTCATCTATGGATAGATACAGCTTGCTTCCGTATCTTGGCTATTGTAAATAATTCTGCAATAAACATAGGAGTGCATTTATCTTTTGAACTAGTGTTTTTGTTTTCTCTGGGTAAATACCTAGTAGTGGAATTATTGGATCATATGGTAGTTCTATTTTTAACTTTTTGAGGAACCTCCATACTGTTTTCCAGAGTGGCTGCACCAGCTTGCATTCCTACCAACAGTGCATGAGGGTTCCCCTTTCTCCACATCCTCACCAACACTTGTTTCTTGTGTTTTTGACTTTAGCCATTCTGACAGGTGTGAGGTGATATCTCATTATGGTTTTGTTTGCATTTCCCTGATAATAAGTGATGTTGAGCATCTCTTCCTGTGTCTGTTGGCCATCTATATGTCTTCTTTGGAAAAATGTCCATTCAGGTCCTCTGCCCATTTTTTAATTGGATTGTTTGATTTTTTTAGTGTTGTATAAATGTTTTTGTATATTTTGGATATTAACCCCTTACCAGATACATCATTTGCGAATATCTTCTCCCATTCACTAGGTTGTCTTTTTGTTTTGTTGATGGTTTTCTTCGCTGTGCAGAAGCTTTTTATTTTTATGTAGTCCCAATAGGTTATTTTTGCTTTTATTTCCCTTGCCTCAGGAGACATACCTATAAAAATGTTTCTATTGCCAATGTCAAAGAAGTTACTGCCTGTGCTTCCTTTTGGGATGTTTTTATGGTTTCAGGTCTCATATTTAGGTCTTTAACCCATTTTGGTTTATTTTTGTGTGTGGTGTTAGAAAGTGATCCAGTTTTGTTCTTTTGCATGTAGCTGTCCAGTTTTACCAGCACCATTTATTGAAGTGACTCTCTTCTCCCCATTGTATATTCTTGCTTCCTTTGTCATAGATTAATTGATCATATAATCATGGGTTTATTTCTGGACTCTCTATTCTGTTCCATTGATCTGTGTCTATTGTTGTTCCAGTACCATACTGTTTTGATTACCACAGCTTTGTAGTTTATCTTGAAATCTGGGATTGTGAAAACTCCATCTTTGTTTTTCTTTCTCAAGATTGCTTTAGCTACTTGGGGTCCTTTGTGGTTCCACACAAATTTTAGTATTATTTGTTCTAGCTTTGTGAGAAATGCAATTGGTATTTTGATAGGGATTGCATTGAATCTGTAGATTGCTTTGGGTAATATGGACATTTTAACAATATTAATTCTTCCACTCCATGAGCATGGAATGTCTTTCTATTTCTTTGTAGCCTCTTCAGTTTCTTTCATCAGTGTGTTAATAATTTACAGAGTACAGCTCTTTCACCTCTTTGGCTACATTTATTCCTAGGTATTTTTAACTTTTCCGTGCAATTGTAAATGGTATTGTTTTCTTAATTTCTCTTTTTGTTACTTTGTTATTAGTGTATAGAAACACTACCAATTTCTGGATATTAACTTTGTATCCTGCAACTTTACTGAATTCATTTATTACTTCTAATAGTTTTTGGCAGAGTCTTTAGGATTTTCTATGTACAATATCATGTCAAGGAATGATAGGATTTTTTGTGCGTCTCATCTCAGAGATACAGTGCAATATGAAGAAAATAAAATAGAATCTAAAATAAATAGAATAGAAAAATAGAATCCCAATCTGGAGAATAGAGAAAAAGCAATATTTAAATAATTCTACCATAAACATAAAAGTCAAACAAGTTGTATCTCAAACGTACACTCTAGTCCTGCCCCCTCTACTGGGATGAAGTCAAGGTTGAATCACAGAGACAGGTAAGGAAATAAGGGCTCCCTCAGATCAGAGCTGTACTTAAAAAATCTGCATAATTATGAAAGCTATTATTATTAAAACTATTACTATAAAATTATTACTAAAAATTAACTGCACATTCAACTCAAAACATTAAAAAAGGAATAAAATATATAAATATAAAAAGTGAAGAGTTATGACCAAAGAAGAAAACAAGTACAGTATTGTCTCATAAATGTATTTTCTTTTTTTTTTTTCTTTTTTTTTTTGAGAAGGGACAGAGAAAGAGAGAGCATGAGGAGGGACGGGGCAGAGGGAGGGGGAGAAAAAGAATCTTAAACAGGGTCCACACCCAGCATGGAGCCTGACATGGGGCTTGATCTCAGGATCCTGAGATCATGACCTGAGCTGAAATCAAGAATCAGATACTTAATCAACAGAGCCACCCAGGCGTCCCTATTTTCTCTTCTTTATGATTTTATTAACATTTTCTTTTCTCTAGACTACTTTATTGTAAGAATACTGTGTATAATACATGTAGCATACAAAATATATATTAGTTGACCATGCTATCAGTAAGGCTTCTGGGTAATAGTAGGCTATCAGTAGTTCAGCTCTGGGGGAGTCTAACATTACATGGGGATTTTCAACTGTGCAAGGGGTTGGTAATCCTAACCCCCTATGTTGTTGAAGGGTCAACTATGGTTTGGAAACAGGAAAATAATAAATAAAAAACTTTTAAAGTTAGTTCTTTTATTTAAAAAGTAAATAGGAATGCCTCTAGAAAAATCTAATCAAGGAGAGAGTTAAAATTGAAAGACAATATTACATATTAAGAGACTGTTCAATAGGTACCAAGAGTCTAACAAGAATATGAGAACACAGAACTTGACCTTGACCTGTACATAAACATATTCCACTATTAAAAATAGCAGAAGTAGCTGCCATCTTGCGTCCCGCGTGTGTGCACCTAATCTCAGCTGGTCCTCCCGAGACCCCCTGAGAGCCAAGCCTATCCCCCGCGCGGTCCCATTTCGGCTCCAACAAGATGAAAGAAACAATCATGAACCAGGAGAAACTCTCCAAACTGCAAGCACAAGTGCGCATTGGTGGGAAAGGAGCTGCCCACCGAAAGAAGAAGGTGGTTCATAGAACGGCTACAGCAGATGATAAAAAACTTCAGTTCTCCTTAAAGAAGTTAGGGGTAAACAATGTCTGTGGTATTGAAGAGGTGAATAGGTTCACAAACCAAGGACCAGTGATCCACTTTAACAACCCCGAAGTTCAGGCGTCGCTGGCCGTGGACGCTTTCACCATTCCAGGCCACGCTGAGACAGAGCAGCTGACAGAAATGCTACCCAGTATCATAAACCAACTGGGTGCAGGCAGTCTGACTAGTTTAAGAAGACTGACTGAAGGGGCGCCTGGGTGGCTCAGTTGGTTGGGAGACTGCCTTCAGCTCAGGTCATGATCCTGGAGTCCCGCATCGGGCTCCCTGCTCAGCAGGGAGTCTGCTTCTCCCTCTGACCCTCCTCCCTCTCATGCTCTCTGCCTCTCATTCTCTCTCTCTCAAATAAATAAATAAAATCTTAAAAAAAAAAAAAAGAAGAAGAAGAAGACTGACTGAAGCTCTGCCCAATCTGTGGATGGAAAAGCACCACTTGCTACCAGAGAGGAGGAGGAGGATGAAGTTCCAGATCTTGAGAATTTTGATGAAGCTTCCGAGAATGAAGCAAACTGAATTGAGTCAACTTCTGAAGAAGCTAAAACTTGAAGAAGTTACTGGGAGCTGCTATTTTAAATTATGACTGCTTTTAAAAATTTTGTTCATGGATCTGATAAAATCTAGATCTCTAATATTTTTAAGCCCAAGCGCCTTGGACACTGCAGCTCTTTTCAGTTTTTGCTTATACACAATTCATTCTTTGCAGCTAATTAAGCTGAAGAAGCCTAGAAATAAAGTTTGAAACAAGGTTAATAAAGTTCTTTGCCTAGGGAAAAAAAAATAGCAGAAGTGTGAGGAGTGTGGAAGTTTTATTTACATAGTTTCCAAATTAATTCTTTGAAGCTAGCATAACCTTGATGATTTTACCAGGCACACAAAAAAATGAAACTTGGATGTAAATCTGTGATGAACATGGAGCCAAAGTCCTAAGTCCAATATGTGACATTTGAATTCAAGAATGTATTAAACAGTCAACACCATGATCAGGTAAGGTTTAATTTCAGGAGGTCAAATGTGAATAAAAACTAAGTTAATATAATTAACTATGCTAAGGGAGAAAAAACAATAGCAACATGTTAATTATCATTGAAACACTAAAAGTGTTCCCAAAATGTAAGAAACAAAACAATTCAGGAGAGGCTACCTATTGCCTAAGATGAGAAAAAAAAAGTATTAATGCATTTTTGCTATAGTTTATAAATCGTAACAAGAGTAACACAGGGTTATTGTTTTAAAATATTAAACTTAAATAAATAATGTAGCCTCCCGCAATCTCATTTCTTAGAGACTAACCACTACTAAAACTTCATGTGTTTTCCTCCAGGGCTTTTTTCTTCTTCAATTTCTTTTAATTATATTAATAAATACCTTGTTGTAAAAACTAAAATATTCTAACAATACATTGAGACTAAAAGTAGAAGTCGTTGGGGCACAGTTGGTTGAGCATCCGACTCTTGATTTTGGCTCAGGTCATGATCTCAGGGTCCTAGGATTGAGCCCCACATCGGGCTCCATGCTGAGCATTGAGCCTGCTTGGGATTCTCGCTCCCTGCCCCTCCCCCAACACTCTAAATAAATAAATAAATAAACAAATATCTTCAAAAAAATAAGTCCTTCTTACTCCCTCCTACCATTACTTGCAAGGGTTACTCTTAACAAGAGTTAGCAATTTGATATGCAAACTTCCAAGTCTTCTGCATGGAATATATATGTATTTGAGATGCAAATATAATCTTAACTAAACATATGGGATCTAATATAATTTATAAATATGTGTGTTTACCCAGCCGGCTACACCTCTGCAGGTATCCCAGCTGTGGAGGAGCTTCCCCTCAAAGATTTACTGCAGGGGACACAAAAGAACACATATAGATCAAAGAAAGAACAACTAAAGGACTCACTCATCCAGTCCCTTCTGGTCTCACCAGATAAGTCACCCTCCTCTCTTATCTCCACTTGTCACTAAGCGATGGAGGGAAATGTGGAACCTATTTTCCCATACTTAAAGAATGAATACTCCTGTTCCCTGGGCTATGCAGGAAGGTGGGAAGAAGCGCTGAATAATTCCTACCACACAGGGCATAGGACATAATATGGGAGAACCACAATTTATTGCTTCCTATTGATTGGATAACTTTTCATTACTACAAATGTTGCTGCAGTCTACAGTTGGCTAACAGATGTTTCCAGAATAGCAGTCCTAAAAGTAGAATTGCAGAGTAACCGAGCAAATACACTTTCATTTGTATGTATTGTTTCATATTTTAATTCAAAAAGCAAACCATACATATGATTTTAAAAGTGCCAAAAGTACAGTGGAGCAGAAGAAAATTGAAAAGCAGCGGTCTCCCTTTAGTACTTCCACTGGCCACCACAAAATTTATATGTATATAAATGTATATATCTACACACACAGACATGACATAAAGAAACAAAATACATGTAGGATAAGAAGCTCAACTATATTTGAGACCAAAACAATGCCAACAAAATAATGGTGAGATATTAATTCTCCACCCACCAGGTTGGCCAATTTTTTTAAATTTTAAATAAAAATCCCCAGTGCTGGTGAGGCTTTGGAGGAAAGGCATTTTTTTTTTTTTAATTTTCTGGCGAGTAATCTGGCACTATTTAACAAATTTAATTTTCTTGTACAAAAAAATTGCACTTCAAAGAATTTATCCTAAGGGGAAAAGTCCTACAAGTGTGTGATGGTTAATTTTATGTGTCAGCTTGACTGGGTGACACGAACACATAGCATACACATGCCCCTGCATCACTCGGGCACCTGCCCCTCTGCCTTCCAGCTGGAGCCAGCCCATCTCAGGCCCCCGCAGAAGGTTAGAGGGTCGGGGAGAGGGAGGTCAGGATACATATTCTTGGACTCTGTCTCTGCCCCGGTACCATGGCTCTGGCCGTGCCTGTTCCCACTACAACTAGCTCCCCTGTTAGGCAACCTCTGTCACAGCTCTTGGCTCCCACCTTCACTGGTCTCTGGTAGCTTTCATTCCCCTTTACCATTTCCTGCCTAGAGGCGTAGTGCTTTTACTAGTTTCAGGGTATCTCACCATCCTTCATGGGTCCCCTTAAGCCTGCCTATACCTTGGTAAATGGTACCTTCCTTAAATTCTATTCCAAATCCCCATGAATATACCTTCTCTTTCTGCAACCCCTAAGAGAGTGGATGAACCCAAGGTTATTGAAAATTGACAAGATATAGTCTTGGTTTGCAAATTGGCTCCTGTACATGGAGAAAGACCAAAGAAAGAAGCAGACCACTCTACATTGGTAGGTGGCGGGTTTAATACTCACGGGAACTTATATTCAAGGCTTGTCTTTGGCAGCTGCAAGATGAGTAGATGTCGGCACCCACCCACCAGAATCTTAAAGTTTACATAGAGGCCTTAACTGGGTTTAGTTACATATGCCATCCCAGATGGTCTCAACAACACCTTACTCTTTCAAGGCTGTGTCTTCGAAACTGACTATTATTGTGGGAACTGTAGGCAGAATGCACATTCCAAGGACAAGAAAGGGGGTGAGGAGCCCCTGATTGCCTGGGATCCAGCTCTTGGGTCAACTGGTGGTCATGTCCTCTCCATGACCTCCTCCGACATATAGGGTCTGCAATCTCCTCTGAGTTGGCTTGATGAGAAATTCTTCTTAATCAGAATGATCCTTGTTGGAGGTGACCTGTCTCCCTAATCGTATCATTTTCAAGTGAACTCAGTGAGTCATTGAACTCTGGCTCTATCTGGATAGCACTCAACTATTGTTCTAATTCTCCCTGATGCCCACTCACTGGAAGCACCAGGAGTCAGACGGGGCTTGCCATTATAACCCAGATCTCAGCTGGGTTTTTCTTACTCCTTGGGACTGAGAAAAGTCTCTGATAATTTAGCCACTGTCAGACTTGTAAGTCTGTAAATATTGAAGAGAAACAGACCAAATTATCATTATTTTCCTGTGAAGCCCAAGATTATCAACTAAAACGAAAACTACGTAGGCTTCCTGGTTCCATAATAGCCATAAATCATATATCATTACTGATTCTTTCCTCTTCCTAATGTCCCAAGACCTATAAAATAATATTAGCAATTTTAGTGAACATTACTTGAATCTCTCCACCAGACTCCATTTTTGTCTCGAACTGCCCAAACTATCCAGGTTCTAGCAGCAATCAAGGCCTCTCTACGATGGCGGTGACCCTGGATGAGGCACTTCGGCAGTTAAGACCATGATGCTGTCAAGGTTAACAACAGCACAAAGGCATCTGAGCTCCTGCGGGGCCAGCAGGGGGCAGCACGCAAATGATCAAGTGAATTGATTGGCGGGAAACGTGAGATGTGCATATGAATGCATGTGTATGAATGTGTGTGTTTAACTTGAGATCCTAATAGGAACACACGTGCTTTTCAAATGCCAATGACACACTTACATAAACTGATCACATATGAGGCTACAAAGACAATCGCAATAAATTTCAAAAGATAGAAATCACATAGGGTGAGTAGTGTTTCACCAAAACAAATTAAAGCTGAAAATTGATAATAGAAAACAGGAAAAAAAAAAAAAAGATTTCTAAGCCCTTGGAAATAAATACTCCTCTTATAAATGACTTGAGTTTTTAAAAATAGCTTCCATTTTATGGCATAATTAAAATGAGTCATTATCCTCAGAAGAAAGCAATGCATATTACTCTTCGTCCAAAGTGGTAAACGGAAGATAATTTTTCACCTTAACACTATTTAAAAATGAGAATGACTTATAAAATGAAACATATACTCAAAGCGCTAGAAAAATACTACTGCTAATATAATAAAGATAATAAACTGATATATATATATATAAAGGTACAAATTAGATACATTACAGAAAATCAGTATAATTGATTTAAAGGGGAAAAAAAATACTTCTTTGAAATGACCAATAATGGGCACCTCCTGGGCAAGTCTGTCTGAAGAAGTTTTTTTTTTTTTTTTTAAGATTTTATTTATTTATTTGACAGAGAGAGACACAGCGAGAGAGGGAACACAAGCAGTGGGAGTGGGAGAGGGAGAAGCAGGCTTCCCACGGGAGCAGGGAGCCAGATGCGGGACTCGATCCCAGGACCCTGGGATCATGACCTGAGCCGAAGGCAGACGCTTAATGACTGAGCCACCCAGGTGCCCCTGGAGACGTTTTTTTAAGAAAAAAGAAAAGAAGGATATGTAGGAAAAGAGAGAAAAAAAATGCAAAATCTAAATGAGGAAAAATATATCACCACAGGTAAAAATAATTTGCTAGGTTCAATATGATGCTATGTACCATTTTGTAACATATAATTTAAAAAAATATAAATGAAGGGGCTTATTGTCTACACCATTCTAGAGCAGTCATTTCCAATCTTTTTCACATTATAGCATATTTGGAAATGATAATGTTAATGTCATAATGCTGTAAAAAAAAAAAAGATTTTATTTGTGCCCAGACACAACAGGTATTACAACTCTGGCCATCCCAGCACCTCTGTATTT